CTTGTCCCCAGGTCTTCTCGGTTAACGGTGCCTTAACCTGCGAAAACGCTGCATAAATTCTTCCAAATTTGGTCATCAGTAACTGGTTATGGTGAATTTAACGTGTGCTTTTAGCCAATCAGAACCGGGGAAATATTTTGAATGAATAATAATACTACTTAATGCCAGCAATAGCGATTTCAATCAGTGGTTTCATTCATTCAGTCGATTTACATAAGAGAGACTTTACAAGTATGTGATTGCTGCATCGTTCTGGTCCTATCTGTTATTATTATAAACGCATTTTACATGTCCTTGTAGACGCCGTTTATTTTTCCCCATATCTTTTAATGAAGTTGCTGGACATTCAGATATGTTTTCTTTTCTGCCCCATGTAATACTATAAAACTATTATAAAGGCCGAAGACTGCGTCAAACTGATCTCAAGAAGAGCTCAGGTCTCTTATCTCACCAATCAAATAACGAAATTTGAGATCGTCTTTACCAAGAACATAAGTATTTCAGTTGGCCTATTGACCGACCATACAAACTGTTCTTTTTTTTTTTGCACAGGAAGTGTGTCGTGGTTATCAAATCACGTATCCAAGTGCCTCTGTCCAACCCACCCTTAAACCTACCGCCACGCAGAAACAACAGGACGAGTGGGAACTGGGCGTGTTAAAGGAATTGTTCCATTGGTTGATACCAGTACAAGTAGAACTTTACAAACAATTGAACCACGCTTACTAGACTCGAGTCCCTCCCTCGCCTCAAATGAATTTGTCAAGAGAGCAAAGCTAAATATTTTTTCTTTCGTACATTGTATCAATGAGGTCTGTAACGTAGAGCGTGGTGCTCATTCTAGTCAGATTTCCAATTAGTTTTCAATCTCAAGCGGTCTCGTCAGTTGTCAAAATGGAATCGCTGTATTGGTTAAAAAAAAGGTAATGAAAAATTAGAAAAGTAGAAGTTAATATAAAAGAATTAGTTTTTACGGTATTTCGAAAAGGTTTTTTACTCAAATATATGAGCAAACAGTAGTAAGGTATAAATAAAAATAAGAAAAAACTCGATGTTTTACTTTTATAATCTTTTGAGTGGTCACTTTAATTTTCTCTCCCCTTTGCGTGAGGTACAATACATTTATTTTAATACCACAATTTCAACTCGTTCGTTAATGTGAGCACTTTTAAGTCTTGTAAAACAACAGCTGAATTTGCAGCGAAAGAACGATCTTTTTTTACATGAAAGGTTGGATATGAACCGGGGCGTTTCTTGATGTTGGAGAAGAAAGTGTTTTTCTGTATTTCTTGGATAATATGATAGGTTTCGAAACGGCTGAGAGGCTGCTTCAGTACTTGAAAGATAGTAATACTTGGGAACAATAAATTATTTCTAACGTAGAATATTAGTTTAATTGGCTTGTAAAGCAATGATAATGAAAGTTCGCTTTCTAATCAGTTAAAATTTCCAGGCTGAGAAAAAAAAAGACAGGATAGTTAGGGAACTGGGTAGCATTAAAGCGTATTTTAAGATGATCGATTCTGTTGACGTACGGAAAGGACGCAGCGCTTATATGGTGATGATAACTAAAGATTGGAGACAAACCTCAAATCAAAGCAGTGGCGGAGCAATCAGCAGCTCTACTCTGCTAAATTAATCCGCAAAATCTCATGCTTGATTGTTTCGAATTAATGAAGCACTATTAATTGTTTGTCTCCGTTCAATTTATATCCCTGATACTTTCAACAAAAGTCCTCAGTCTAAATGTAAAATTAAATACATTTAGGAACACAGAGAACCGCTTAATAACTGCTAACCATTTTTAATTAATGCGTTATATTTGGCACATGTGAAATGCGACTTCCAAATCAAATGTTGAACCTAAGCCGAATTTTCGACTGTCTCAGTCGCAGATTCGACAAAGTCGTATTTAATTTGAAACTGTAGAATTCAGTTGATTCAGAGGTCGCATCACAAAGCAGTTACCTCTCGAATTATATTAGGCACATGTGAAAATCGACGACTGAGCTTCCGGGTAATGAGTAAACAGTGTCCAGTATTACTAAAACGTCATATCCCTCTTTTGGTAATGAAAAAAATTATCAGGTAGAACATTACTTTCCTGCGAATTTTCTCTGCCGTGTGATGAAACGTCAACTCTCTACAGTCCTCGGCCTAGTCTCCTGACTTTTTCGCTCATGTCCATTGTCCCGTTAATTTTTAAATACCGGACGTAAACTGGTTATTTTTAAATGTTCCTCACAACCGACTATTTTATTTTAACCCAATAATGAAATTGTCACAGCAACAAAAAACCCTTAATTCTGCAATGGTCACGTGACTGATGACGTCAACACCTTAGATGTGACATGAGGAGAATATATTGTATGGCAAATATTATCTTGTTGTGGCCTGACATTCCTCTACGTATAAAATTATAAAGCTTTAAAAAATAATTGCCTCAAAGGATTCTGGGATCCTTTTTGTGATTATTAATAATTTACTCTTATAATTATTATCATTGGCCAAGAGAGAATATTCTGTCTTGTATGAGCCTTATTATTATTATTATTTTAAATTAATTTTAGTTTTATTTCTCTGTCATATTTACTCTACTTTGTTTACATTAATTTTATTCGACCTATGTAGGGAAGAGAGATTATTTTAGGATATTAAATGTGGAGTCTCTCAAGTACAACTTTTCATTTGCATTTTCTCTCAGTCTTTTTCCACTTGTTTCATTTCCTTTTTTCCTGGACTCGACATGGGAATGTCGGGCATATGACCTGATACCGGGTTAGAAACATTCCTACTCAACTGTGCTATGCTTCTGATGATTCACAGCTTTTAATTTAGGAGCCTTGGTGTCGATGCATCCATTGTCCTAATATACCCGTGTTTAAATTCTTGACCTTTTCTTTCCTACTTATCCATGTTTTCTTTTATCTGTAAATTATCTTCTTCTTTCCTGGAATTCTACACTGGAAAGTTTTAAGAACGAAGTATTTCACGATGGGTTTTGTTGTTGTTTTTTTTACTCTCTCTTCCTATGGTGGATGTTTTTTGAGTTGAATTCTCTGTTCTTCTTTACTCTCCTCTAATAAGAATAGCAACTGTTTTTATTCCTACTTTCAAGGTTTTAACCCATTCGCCCCTGAACCGCCCGTAACCGCCCGTGCGGATCCAGGTCCTTTCTACCCTTTGTGACGTCATCAGTTTTAACGGTCAAGGACAACTTTCTTCGCTAACTTGTGCAGGGTGAAGAGATCTTTCAAACCATACCAGAATGAGCACAATTCAGTCAAGGACACCGGAGAAAGAAGCAAAAAACCACGTGACAAGGACCTGAAAATCTCCATGAAAATCTTGTTCCATTACCCACCTACCTTTCCTTTCACCTAATCCTAAGATCCTAAAAGCTTTCCTAAATACTCTTTCCACCAAAATGAAGCCTACTAAATGCCCAGCAAGAGAAAAAAAAAATAAGGCAAGAAAAGCGAAAAAAGAAGGGAGGAGAGAAAGCGGAAAGTAAAAGTCAAGACTGCTGTGTCACTTTTAAACCCAAAAACGAAATTTTGCTTTCTGCGCATGCCCGAACTTCGTAAGCTGATATTTTGCATCTGGATCAGAAGGCCGCCAAGTGTACGACCTGTAAACCGGTTTGTGGTAAGTTTTAGCTCTTTATAGCACGACAGTGACCAGAAAACCACTCGACTAGCTTCAAAACGCGTTTTTCGGCAAAATCTCCAGGAGCGAATGGGTTAAAGAACGAAATAATATTATAGATGATTATATTTTCTAGTTGGCAGTTTATCTTTTTTTTTTCTTTTTAAAAATTATTTTTTAAGCAGGGTAACCCCCTTTTCAATCATTTTCGTTTCCATTCAGCTGGGATAAATTCATCCCCAGACTTCTCTCTTTTTGTACGTCATCATGCTGACCATGCTGACCATTACCTATGGCGTGAGCAGCAAAAAACGGTTCTTTTTGCTAGTTTCTGCGGGCCACATCTTTGACAAGAGAAATTTTTGTCTTCTAGCTGGGGAGTTTTCATTTATTTTGCTCGCTAATTTGCCTTCTGCAGAGGCTATCTGATGTATTTTTGAGTAAGTATTTAAGTACTTTTTCACCAAGCTACCCCTTTCTTTCAAAAGACAAATATATTTCCATTTTTTGTTTGTTTATTTTAGAATTTCAAGTCTTATGCCCGAAACTCTTTTTAACCTTGTCTTATTTTTTGATACTGAAGAGCTGGTCGGTCAGACCGACCATTTTATGGCGTGATCGGCAAAAAGGGATTTTATATTTGGTACTTTCTGCGGGCCACATCCATGACAAGATAAATTTTTGTCTACTAGCTGAGGAGTTTCCATTTATTTTGCTCGCTAATTGTCCTCTGCAGAGGCTATGTGATGTATTTTTTAGTAAGTATTTAAGTACTTTTTCACCAAACTACCCCTTTCTTTCAAAAGACCTTTTATTGCAATAGACCAGGGGCCCGATTCTCGAAAGTCCTGGTAACTTTTCGGGCCCGAAATTTAATATTTAAATCAAAATCTGAAGAATAAAAGCGCGGGTTCTAACTGACAAACCAGGCCATTTCGTTTTGTTAACTGATAGTTTTATCATGTTTATCTGCAAAACTACCAAAACCTCTATCTGGATGGTAAACAACAACAGCTTGTTTCCGGTACTTTCAAAGTCCAAGAACACAGTAATATTAAACAAGAGAATCACTGACAGCAAAATTCTTAAGTAGTAGCGCTGTCAAATTTGTCTCACACACACTTTATGCTGTCTTCTTCTTTCTGCCGTCCTTTTGTGTAAGCTCATTAATTTTATAAAAAATAATAAAAGTTTCTTTTGGCTGGGTTAACATATTTCTTCTTTTATTATTTTATTGTCTTCCATAATCATCGTTCTCTGAAACAAATTTTTTTCCCCGTTATTGATTAATTACTGAATATTGACTACTATCAACTGTCCTTTTTTCTCCTTTCCGTTTGGGCTGGGAATTTTTATACACTAACGACGTGCGCTGAGCTGGAAAACATATTATTGCCAATAATAATGACCAGTTCTCTCATTTGACTTTTAAGCACTGCCATTTCACGACTGAGGTCCTGGTACCGAGCTGGGCTGCCAAGCTTATTCCCATGAAGGAACTGGGGCGGCGATGAAGAAGTACCGTTTAAGTAGGCTTCCTATTGTGAGAAATAGAGAAAATAAGCTAAAATAGTGATAACTGATAAGATCTTAAAGTTATGAAGATGGCATACGATGATTTGGAATTTTCACAGAAATCGTTCATCTTTTTCACTTCTTGAGAGGGGACTCATTTAAAGGAATTAAAATGCCTGTTGATAAATCATATTTACAATACATCGAAGGACAAGAAAAGTCTTAACCTGGATTAAAAACTGGGGCGTCGTGAGCCTGAAACCAACGGCAAAGCGTGGGAAAGACACGATTTAATTTGGTGTAACATGTCATTGGCGCATCTCTCGTTTGTATTATTTAGACATTGAATTTCTAGGCAATGATGTGAGCCTATAACGTGTCATAGCAATAAACAGATTTTTGCCCCATTTCTGGTCATGTGACGGTTTCAAGGGAATTTGTTTTTAGCCTTTTTTCATAGGTACGCAAATGAGACAAAATTTGAAAACAGTTTCCAGATTACGTGGTCTCGCTCTTAAAACTGGAAAACAAACGATCAAAGTCGAAGAGGAGTCCTAAAAACTACTTTAAGCGCCAGTTGACACTGACATTGAAGGAGTCCTTAACTGAAGTTTAAGCTTTGAGATATGAATAACTTACCGCCACATCCATACCAATAATGAGACCTGACAAGAGGCGAACACCATCCTTCAAGCACAGATCAGACTGTGGACCTGTCATGACACTTGGAATTTGACTAAACAATAAAGAGTAGATTTTGATATGATTCAAGTCAAAAGTCAACCTCTGCAATACCTGAGGGAGAATAAAGATCCATGATCAGTAATCTCTACTATACTACTATACCTTCGTAAGTATAGGTGGAATGTGATCGTTCGGCGGAGTAAAGCCCTGAATAGGAATGTTGTTAACAGTGATCATGACTGAGGTTTTGGACAACCTGTGCAGTAGTCATCTTCAGATTCAAAGTGAGTTGTATCACGTCATTTGATGGAATTAATCTCTGGTTATTGACGGACCGCTTTGGTCAATTAATTTGCAATGTTATTGGTCGTCTGACAAGTAAGCTGTGATGTTATTGGTTGTGACTGAAGACTCTAAATGTGATTGGTGCGTTTCACGGATCTATCTTCTTTCAAAGTTATAAGGTGCCTTAACCGTCGCTTTCACTGTTTTAATTTGCAACTTTGTGGTATCTTTCATTGTCTTAAAGCACTGCACTCACCGTCACTCCTGAAGAGGCTGAAATGTAGGAGCTGCCCATTGATCTGTTGAAAGGGATAGATGCCTGGGATAAAAAATACAGTACACAGTTAGTTAGCGATCGGAGACTAACGAAAGTATCCTAGTAGTATCCTAGTATCCCACTGCAATCCAAAACAAAATTTAGTACTCTCCAAAGGCATTTTGGAGAGATTTGAAATAAAAAGGCCGCCAAGATGATGAATGTCTCAGTATGTATATAATAAACACAATACCACATGGAAAGTGCCTCGTTGTTTATGTAATAGAAATCTCACTTGTTCGCTGCCCTCACTCGTTCGATTTCTGATTCGTCAACGACTCGTGCATAAATAGCGCACGCCCACAATTGCCATAAAGTATCCTCTATATATAGTTCACTTACAAACTTTTCCAAAGTTGTGTTGAGATGTGTCGTCAGGTTTGTACACCACTCATCAAGAACCTGAACGGGTGACAAGGTTTGACCACCTTGTATCGATCCCACAGCTGCATGGCCGACAATGGACTTACGACTTCTCAAAGTCGCTGAGTGGGTGTTTTGGCAGAGAAGAACTGTTGTCAAAAGCACAATGGCGAATGCTTTGAGATTCATTTTTTCTGTAAAGGGACACAAACGACCAATGATCAGCAAGTCAGTAATGAATCAAACAATATTTCGTTGATGAGTAACTGAAGGCAATTGCAGCAGGCAACAAATCAATCAATTAATCAATCAACCTTTTTTTGGTTCAATTCTGTGCTGAAGTCATTACTTAGTGCTCTTATCCGTACACAAAATGTTTCTGCAGAGGTATTTAACAATTATTCCTCGAGCCAGAATGGGCCTTTGGCCCCATGGGCTAATGACTCAGAGGCCATGAGGGCGAGAGGAATAATTGTTTTAGTAAAATCCAACTAGTTGGTCAAAAATATCGAGACAAAACAACTTTAGCTAGTTAAAGCTAGACTTAAATTCTTTTTTGCCGCCAAAAAGCCGGCGCTTTTCGCTACTAGTGAGCTATAACATACAGCGTAGTAATATCTCAACCAATAAGAACGCAGCATTAATAAGTTGGATTTTCCAAAGAGCAGATATCAAACAAATTTCATCAGGAAGCACTAACCATAATAATTGTTTTGGGGATTTTTACGGGCATAGAATTACAACTTGAAAACGTTGGCTCATCTTTTTAAAGTTTCAATCCTTGTCCATCCTTTGCAACAGACGACAGGAAACAGTTTCAATGTCAAAAGTAGGAGTTATCTTTGAAACGAGGAAAGGGTCAATCGCGAATCGTGGAATAGGAATGGGGAACGGGAAACGGGGAGTCTCTAAAGGCCGTAATCTTTAAAATGGGGAATCTTTAAAAAGCGGGAATTTTTAAACTGGGGAATCTTTAAAAGCGGGAATCTTTAAAACGAGGAATCTTTAAGAGCGGGGAATCTTCCCCGTTTTAATGATTTCCGCTTTTAAAGATTCGTCATGTTAAATATTCTGGCTTTTAAAGAATCCCCCCGTTTTAAAGATTTCCGCTTTTAAAGATTCGCCGTTTTCAAGATTGTTTCCGCTTTTAAAGATTCTCCGTATTAAAGATTCCCTCTTTTAAAGATTCCACCCATTGCCCTTCCCCGTTCCCCATTCCCATTCCCCGATTCTCTAATTTCCCGTTCCCCGTTTCAAGGATATCCCAAAACTGGGCGTTATTTTTGGAATTCAATTGATGCGAAAAAAGTTTCAGCTTCTTCAAAAGATAGCAAAAGCGACATACGCCCTTTAAATCAAGTTCAAAGTAAAATCGACGGCCTATCAATTAATCGATCGATCAATCAACCAATCAGTCCGCCATTCATCATTCTGACAAACCCAATCAGCCAATCAATTAGCCAGGTGATCAATGGAGAAAATACTGAACATGATCGCTAATGTATTGACCGATCGATTCTGTGTGTTTCTTTATAGGTTTCAGTAGAAGTCTGATTTAAATATATAGCAATTCAGTCAACCACGCCGCGTCGGCTGCAAGCAAAAATTGGTTTCCAGTTCAAACTAAGTTTTGCAATTTTTACATCCGCTTGAGCTAAAACTTTCCAGATTCCCAACAATGGTATGTTTTTGGATTTTCGACTTAAACGGTTTTTTGGCGGTAAAATTACGTCATAAATTAGACAGCAAAATATAGTTTTCGACTTTTAAAACAAGTAATCCGGGTTTCTCTTTCTTTTTTTCAAAAGTATTTTTTCGAATAATTTTCGCTATTTTAACTAGACCATGCTCTCATCAAATTGTAGACCAAAAAAATAAACAGAATTTGCCTTTTGGCTGTCACAATTGATATTCAGGTAAATTTCGCATTTACCTTAGGTTAGTTTACCTATCTTTGAGCAGCCCGGCCCCGTTGTTTTAGAATACGTAAACTGCTGGTCCAAACTACTGGGGCTTACTAGTTTTGACATCAGTGTATTTTTCTGATTTGTTTTGCTCATCAGAAGTATTTTCTCTTACATAAGTTACGTCCAAAGATGTTAAGAATTCTAGGATCATGAAGTTGAAACTATACGTAAAAATTTCCTTACCTTGGTTGCTCTGGCTGTGAAAAAATACAGAAAATTATACTGCCGTCGAGTTTCTAAGTATTGCGTGAACTGAGTGTACCTTATAATTTTCACGGCTATTGAGCGATATTTATAAGGCTGTTATGTTTAGCTAATTGGTGAAATCACCGCTTCAAATTTAGAGAAGTGATAGGCAAATGGGAGAATTTTTGTATCAGACTGAATGTAACAAGAAATAGGATATATTGCATTTGTGTACGCAGTTATATTTGCTTTAGGAAAGCATTCCCGTCTTTTGCTTGCTTATGGTAATTCAAAACCGCCTTTAAGTGGAAATCAAGGAAATTTTGAAATCGATGGAGCTCGGAGGGGGGGGGTGCACTTTGCACTTTGTAAGAGTTTGTCCACGGCATTTTCTATTCAAAAGGCGATTACTAAGATTAACTTATACTGAATATTAATCCAGTCATTCTGTTTGAACAAAACGGGATATGAATTGGCGGGGATAAATGGTTAATATTGCAAACTGACTACCGTGATCGCAAACAACTTCCTTTCTCTTAATGTCGGGCATGGAAAAATTGACCCTTGAATTTACACTTCCCTGATTTTTTTAGAAAATTGTTAGTTCAAAAAAAATGTATATCTTCAAATCTACTGTTTATTAAGCTAAGCGGCAGTAAATTAAGTTTAACAAGTGCTTATTAAATGAAAAACTCTGTTACCACAATGAATTAATTGTCTTTTGAATCACTTTTCAGTACTATCTCTGCTTTTCCAACGATTTTCGAATACAATTTATCAAGATCGTTACATCTTTGTTTTTTCATGACTGATCAGCTGAAATACGCTTAAAATGACAAAAGTCGGAATAATAAAACAAGAACGATTAAATCAATATACTGTAATACCGGTTGAATTTGAGAAGTAATTATTGCTGACTTACAGGTGTCTATCGATAATCATGGGTTAAACTGGTCAAAATTTGCTCAGTGTCAAATGAGAATCTTTAGGGAAAATATTTGTTGCTTCCAAGGTTCTTTTTTATTCCTCACATGATAGCATTAACGTAAGAAGTGACCGAGATCTAACTCAGCATCTTCGATCACGGCGTCTTTTTGTGACATAGGCCAGAACAGCGTTTTCACTTACAAAATAATTGATCTGAATTAAAATAATAATATAAAGATAATGAATGTGACGCAACAGATTATTTTTGACTTTACAGTTCCGGGAAAAATGTAACTTCACCATAAGAGACAAAATGGAGTAAAGATTGACAAATAACTGAACTCTGGGCTTTAAAGCTCAGATGTCGAAAAATTAGAGATCAAGCTTGTTATAATACTTAATTTGTGAGGATAGGCAGAACTATGATAAAAGCAGTTGATTAAAAACAACCACAACAACAAACAAAAAAAGACATCCACTGCTCACTTCAATATCCTTTGATTTTTCTACATATTCTTGTTTTGTGTCGGTTGATGTTTGAAACTAATTAACCGCATGTGGCTGGTTAAAAGTCTCGTCAGAAAAACTAATATTATCAAAAACAGTGACAACACCCAAAAATGAGCAATCAAAATCAAGCAGGAACGTTACAAACTCCCGCGGAAAGGCTGTTTTAAGTTTTTGCTTTCCATGCAGTTTTACAATCCACGTTAATTCAAAGTTAATGAGAACAATATTTTATTCCCACAACAAATTCACAAACTATATATTCCACAATTCTCCCGATATATTATGTTTTAGCAAGGTTAAAAAACTTAACTTGAAAGGAAATTCAGTTGAAAGAAATCGGTTAAGTCCACTCGTTCCTTCGAATTCCGTTGAATACAGCGGAATCCGGAGGACCGGAAGTACAAATTTTAGTAACGTACTTAAGATTATCTTTTTCAGTTTAAATCACAGTTAACGAATTATTCCTGACATCGCCATGCTATTGTACTTTCTTTCAAGAAGATTTCAGTGATCAGTGAAAATACCAAATCAGTGACGCTCTTCATTGTTCATTTGAATTTTGATTTGTAATACGACCCGATAGTTTAACGAGTATAATATTACAACGAGAAGCGTCAAATTACAATTTTATAGTTTTGTAATTTGATCAGTTCTGAAACTGTAGCAAGATGTCAGTGGGGTGGTTTCTCCTGACGAAAAAGCCGAAAACCAGGGATAAAATCTGTCTTAATAATTAAGACAAAATAGAATAAATTCTACCTTAAAAAGCGTTTAAGTCACGACATCCGCTAAGTACTTACAGTGTCTACATTTAGAAGCACGTAAATTTTTCAACTGTTTATGCTGCATATTTCAGTGAAATGGCTTAAGAAGCAATGAAAGCTCTCTTTTAACTGGTAGCATTGCTAAAATTTAGATATGATAGAGGGTCATGCAGGAAATTGTAAAAAACAGGAAAAGCGCGAGAAAAAATGTTTACTATATATTTAAAGTATAAAGTGGATGACCGGTAAGGGGTTATTTTATTTTTAATTGTGTCAATAAATTGGGGAAATTTGAGATTTTCTAAATTCCCTAGCATTGTTGCCCAGAGACAATTTAACCCGGCGTTCTAATGCGTGTGGTCCATTCAGTGAGAGATACAAGAAAACGTACCCCAAAATCTTTGTGAAATCAGAATGAAGACTTCAAATCCCGGTAAGTGCGTTAATTTTTTAATACTCAGTCATCAAGTTACTAACTCTCTAATTGATCAATGAAGGTTAAATTTCATTTTATATTGAAAACAAAATTACAGGGTCGGACTACATTAAGTTCTGATGAACTCAAACTGTAACACGGAGAATTTGTTACTGACAGTACTTTTCAATGTCAATCAATAATTGAGGGGCTATGAGTCGTGGTTAATGTGTTGAAAATTGAATACTTGTTTTTAGCTTGTGTAATTAAGTTATCCAAAAACAGTTTAATACGAGAAAGGCTCACTGAAATATAAAGAACCAACTTCAACTTAAAAGTTGAAAAACTAGTCGAGTACTTCAATGTATACTTACGCAGGCAAAAAGCAGAGTTAAATAAAACTCAAATATGGCAAATTTA